TCTAGAAAAGCGAATACTTGGGCAGAGGGAAACATGATTGCTGACATCACACATTTGAAGGTTGTCATGTGGAAAAAAGAAGAGATTTGCCTGATGCTGCTCTAGAGAGCAGAACTTGGGCCAGGGGATAAAAGTTGTAGGTAGGAGTTTTCGGCTGAACATAGAGAAACATTTGGTGAAAGTCAGTGTTCACCATGCAGGTGAGGAAGAGATAAGTTTCCCAGTAGGGGAGGCGCTCATTAACTGAAAAATCACTTAACAAGGATATTGTCAAGGGGACTTTTTTACTGGGCTGGGGGTTATTCTAGATGACCTTTGGAGTTCCGTACAGGAAGTTCAAGATCTGGACCTTTCAGGGATATGCTAGTGTTACTACATTAAAATTAGCAAGTTCTCAAAGTGGTAATCTGAAAAGAGCCAAAATGCTCTCAAAATCAACACCCTATAACCTTCCTCTGACCGACTCACTCCTGTGCTTTTGTACATAAAATTTCCACTATAGTCACTCTTTGGACTGGGCATTCAAGGTCCCTGTTCAAATGTAATTTTTTTTCTAGAAGAAATATGGCATTAAGGCACTGAGCCATTATCACCAGCTTCTGTTACAGTGTAAAATTGTTATTCTGTAGACCTCCTCTGTGGTCAGAATGTGTTATCTATCATTCACACTTAGATTGTACAAATTTATCATATTAAATTTACTTGCCTTAAAAGGACCCTGAAGAGTTGGAAAATTGGACAGATAAGTTTGGATAATGGTGAGAGGTCACGAGCATTTTGCCATTTAAGCTACAATCTTCATGGCACACAGTGCAAGCCATGCACAGATACCAGGTCCCTCTGAAGGCACTATTTTTGTAGCTAGGTAGAAACCCAGACTTTCCTCCTCACAGATGAAGTCCTGTGCTAGGCAGCAATCTGGGCTGGGATTTGCCAAAGCCACTTTGTGCTCTGGCCTTCTGCCAAGCCCATCGATTCAGCTCTTTAAATCGCATCATTTAAGCCCACAAATGTCACAGATCCTATTAGACAAACTCCTCTGGCCAGCAGCAAAGAAAAGAGAGAACATGATAAGCCCTCTGAGGCAGCCTGTTAGACCATCCTAAATCTTTCATGCTTGGAGGGACTACATTTGGGAGTAGGGTTCACTGGCGGAATGGCGGGAAATACTGGCTGGTTTTGTATCTCAAGGCTTGGCTTAGGTTAATAGCAGATGAGTGCATCTGCCAAATATAAAGGTAAAGGGTGATGGGAAGAAATCTTCCCAATAATACATCCTCAAGAGATGCCAGAAACTCCATCATTATGTACTTATTTTCGGAATAATAGCAGGGTAGGTCTAACAGCAATCATATGGAGAAAGGATTGGTCTCAGGGCCTGGCGTGAGGCTGAGGCTAAAGCTATAAGTGAGGGTCAAGTGGCTCCAGCTGTGGGGATCAGAAGAAGGCAGGGAACTAGGCAAGTCATTAGACATCTATATGAGCCTGCATGTCGACAGGCAATGCAGGGAACCCGTTTTTGCATCATTCTTAATGTGTAGCGTAGAGGCGGGCATGGCTACTTAACAGAGATTTCCAAGGCTGTTACACCAGACCTCTCCTTTACCCTCCAGCACATCTCCCTTATCTCCTAACCAGACATCTCTTTACTTCCAAGATCACAGTAACTTTCCTAATGAAAATAAGAATAACATCTATTGGATGTTGGGCAGGGGGGAGGGGGGAGGAGGGAGGAGAGGACGGGTATTTGCATACACAAAGAGTGCAATGCGCACCACCCGAAGGATGGACAGATTTGAAACTCAGACTTGGGGGGGGCAAGGGCAACATACGTAACCTAAACATCTGTACCCCCATAATATGCTGAAATAAAAATAAAAAAAAGAATCTATGTTAAGATATTACTAGGCTAGCCACATGATTTGTTTTTCCTTCCACAGGTAGTTTTGGAGATATAGTGCCTTAAAGCAAAAGAGTGACTCTCTAATAGTACAATCTCAAGGAAACCTCTGGAAATATTTGTTTTCCCTACAAAGGAATACTATGATGTCTCTCATAACACAGCCCACTGCAAATGAAACAGATCAGATTAATTTTAAATGCAAGAGATGAAAAGTAAAACTAGACTTTGGATTGGCTACATATCATCCAATTATACTTACTTCGAGTCTCAAATTATCATGATTTTATAGTCATCTCTCTGCTCTACTTTAACCAATGCCTCTGGCACATGGTGAGAATTCAATAAATGGTACTGCCTGTTGCCTTCATTGTTATTACTATTAGAGGTAGTAGTAATAGTGCCACCTCAGTATCTGGCATGGTGCCTGGGACATATTAAGTATTCAGAATTATAATAATTATTTTTATATCCTTATTGTCTCAGCTCCTGGCAAAATGCCTGGCACATAATAGGGTACCGATGGATCTAGTTCCCTTCGTTCTCACCTTTCCTTGAGATAGATTTTTCTTCTGTTTTCCCCACAGCTGTGCCTTCCTAAAGTGGCTGCAGATCTTCCTGTAGCAATAATGCTTAGCCCAGCACCATCAATGACACCATCTGAAAAGACATCCAGACTTTTCTTCCATGGTAGCCTGTTAAGTGGCAAATGGGCAGCACGTGTTCAACACCATTTTTCAGATGGGGAAACTGAGGTTATGAGCTATTGCCTTGGAATGTTAGCTCACCTCTAATCCCTATATTTTATTATAGCCTGAAAAAATTAGGCCTCTTGCTCACCTCTAACCCATCTCCCAACTAGGCCATAATCAATCTCACCACTTTTGCTCTTGCACTCTCCAGTGTCTAGACTGCCCTCAAGTTTTCATATTTAATTCATCCTCCAAGGATTAGCTTAAGAGCTACCACCACTTCCGTGAAATCTTCTCTGAGACCTCCAGCCTTTACTGAGCAGTGAGCTATTCTTTCATATCCCCTCACAGTTACTAACCAAGTGCTAGGCACACTGGAGCTCTCAGTGTGTTCATATTGATTAACTAAATAAATATAAGCTGAATTGGGTTGTTGATTCTCTCTTCAGGAGATCACACTATCTCTTCTCTCCCCTGTCCCCTTTTGTTTACAAGATAGAGGCGGGGAGGCAGTCTACAATTAGTATTATTAAAGTCATTTGCTATTTAGTGATAAATACTTACTCTAAATGCTGCTTTCCTTTAGCCACTGCTGAGTTACTTGAAAGTAGTGAAAGGAGGCCGGGCATGGTGGCTCATGCTTGTAATCCTAGTACTCTGGGAGGCTGAGGTGGGAGGATCGCTTGAGGTCAGGAGTTCGAGACCAAGAGTGAGACGCTCCCCACCCCCATCTCTACTAAAAATAGAAAAAATTAGCCAAGCATGGTGGTGTGTACCTGTAGTCCCAGCTACTCGGGAGGCTGAGACAGGAGGATTGCTTGAGCCCAGGAGTTTGAGGTTGCTGTGAGCTGGGCTAACACCACAACACTCTAGCCCGGGCAACAGAGTGAGACTCTGTCTTAACAAAAAAAAGAAAGTAGTGAAAGGAAATATCAGTGCTTCTGGAGACAGCCAAGCAGCACCCTGCTCTCCTGAGATTTGGATGCAGAGAGGAAATTTGTTATTTGGGCCTGTTCAGGACAACACTCATCTTCAAATACTAACTTCCCAGAAGATCACAAGCATATGAATTGCAAATGCCACTTGATATAATATATGCTTCTCCCTCTGCCAAAGCAGGGATGTCATTACCTAGAAGACTGAGGTAAATGTTTGTGGAAACTTCATGTCTTCATCTTCTACATCCAGAAGATGAGACAAGGAGCTCTTTTGCTGGCAAAATAGTTCAGTGATGAAAGACATTAAAAAGGGTCCATTCCCTAAGTCAACCTCCAGAGAGTCCCAGAGGCCTCAGGGATGGGAGGGAGGGGGAGCCAATCACCTAATGGATCTCAGCCTCATTTTTCTCCCCTGGGGATGATCAGCATTCCTATATCACAAGGCTAATACAAAGAATCAATGAGGAACATGCATGACTTTGATCTGTAAACTATGAGGCAAGAGCTTTGTACTTGCAACTGAAAGCAAAGACTGTCTTTTTTTCTTGGTCCCCCAGAGAAAGTTTAAACACATTGTAGGAGCTCAATAAATAGGTTTTTACTTTAAAATCAATTCTATTAAATGTAATCTGGCTTTAGACATGGTACAAATAAAACCGACTTCACTTCTCTGAATTAAACAGATTCTCAGATATGTTAGCTTCTTGGCTTGGAATGGCAGAGGAAACAATCATGAGTGGGCAGAGGGGGTACATGTTTATCTTTTGCAGATGGCTTTGGTCTATTGGAGTAAATACCCCTTCGTCAGTGAGCAGCAGCAAGAAGCAGGGTTTCAGTTAGCACTAAAATAGGATTTCAATACAGGATGTGCATCTGGGACAGTAGCAAATGTAATCTTGAAAATTAGCACAGGCCCACAGACTCAGAGCCCAAAGAAAGCTGGACAAAAATGAGCTCCAACTTTGCATTACCAATCAGAAGCATTACCAAGTGTATTGCCAGGCAGCAGAAGGAAAGGAAGGAAGAAACTTGGTTGTGCCATATCTTAAGAGGTTTACCCTCTGCCAGTTGCTTTGATCATGTATGTCTCATTTAACTGTCACAATAGCTTTATGAGGTAGTAATTATTCTCTAGCACAGGATGTGGCACACAGTAAGCAGTCACTAAATGACAACTGATGATAATATTATTAATATTGATGACCTTAATAATAATAAACAAAGCACAGAAGGATTGAATAACTTACCCAAGGTCACAGAGCTGGAAAGTGGTAAAATCAGGGTTTGAACCCAAGTCTTTCTGACCCAAATCCTGGGCTTTTTCTGTTATACCTCTTTGCAAGAGGAAAAAGATTATCATTAAAACAGTTTAGGATTTTCCAATGCCTTAGCAAAGTTGCCTCCATAACTAGCCACTTGAGATCTTCAGTTATCTAAGAATATCTTTGTTCTTCCTCTCTCCTCACTCAGCTTTCTAAATTGCTATGAACCATGGCCCAACTATACTACAAAAAGGTCAACTACTCACCGTACAGAGACCGCATTCCCCTGCAGATTGTGCGGGCCGAGACAGAGCTCTCTGCAGAGGAGAAGGCCTTTCTCAGTGCTGTGGAGAAGGGGGACTACGCCACTGTGAAGCAGGCGCTACAGGAGGCCGAGATCTACTACAATGTCAACATCAACTGCATGGACCCTCTAGGCCGGAGTGCCCTGCTTATTGCCATTGAGAATGAGAACTTGGAGATCATGGAGCTACTGCTAAACCACAGCGTGTATGTGGGCGATGCATTGCTCTATGCCATTCGCAAGGAAGTGGTGGGTGCTGTGGAGCTTCTGCTCAGCTACAGGCGGCCCAGTGGAGAGAAGCAGGTAAGAGAAATCCCTACAGGCTGGAAAGTCTTGAAACTAGGGAAGGTTAGGTAGTCTGGAATTAAGAAGCTCTATCTTGGAAACGGTATCAGTGATCTCAGGTGGTATCCGAGTGCTACCCTGCATGGCCCATGCCGAGTTTTACTCATTTACCTTTTCCTTAGTAGTATTTGCCTGTATACATTCAATACTTAACAACCCAAAGATATGCTCTTTCTAGAATATTCAAGACCCTTCTACCTCTGTTTTCTATCTTCGTTTTCTTCTTCCACTCAAGGAGAGATCAAACACAGATCTGGGGTTTTTCCTTCTCACCAATGTCTTTCCTGAAGACAAGACAGAAGACCTTTAAACTCGAGTGCCATGGTGCAGATGCAGATGGATACAGGGCCTCACATATGTCCCCCACTACCTGTCAAGTAACTGTGTTCCATCCCTAGATGTTTGGATTTTTGCTTCTGTGATTCTTGTATCCTCCAAGGCACCTAGACTTGATATTCTGTAGTCATCTTTGATTTCTCCCTCTCTCTTGCCTCCATGTCCAATTCCCAAGCCCTGTGGTTTCTTCCTTTCCAATCTTCCCAATTTCTTTCTTTCTTTCTTTCTTTCTTTCTTTCTTTCTTTCTTTCTTTCTCTTTCTTTCTTCCTTCTTTCCTTCCTTCCTTCCTTCCTTCCCTTTCTTTTCTTTCTTTTTTTTGACAGGGTCTTGCTCTGTTGCCCAGGCTGGAGTACAGTGACACAATCATAGCTCACTGTAACCTCCAACTCCTGGGCTCAAGAAATCCTCCCACTTTAGCCTTCCAAGTAGCTGGGACTACAGGCATGTCCCACCACAACCAGCTAATTTTCAAAAAATCATTTTCTGAAGACAGGGTCTTGCTATGTTGCCCAGGCTGGAGTACAGTGACACAATCATAGCTCACTGTAACCTCCAACTCCTGGGCTCAAGCAATCCTCCCACTTTAGCCTTCCAAGTAGCTGGGACTACAGGCATGTCCCACCACACCCAGCTAATTTTGAAAAAATCATTTTTTGCAGACAGGGTCTTGCTATGTTGCCCAGGCTGGTCTCAAACTCCTGACCCCAGGCGATCCTCCCACTTCAGACTCCCAAAGCACTGGGATTACAGGCATGAACCACCACTCCCAGCCCCCAATTTATCTTACATACTTTCTCTCCTCTTTGGCCCAGCTTTTACTGCTCTGATCTGATTCTCATCATCTGTCTCCTACATGAGCATCTCCTAAAGTGTAGTCCCCGGACTAGCAGCATCAGCATTACCTTGGAACTTGTTAGAAATGCAAATTCTCAAGCCTCTGCTACAGACCTGCTAAATCAGAAACTCTGGGGTGGGGCCCAGCAAGCTGTGCCTTAATAAGCCCTCCAGGGGATTCAGATGCACTCTCAGGTTTGAGAACAACTGCCCTAGATTAACATAAAACTCTTCTGACTGGTCTCCCTGCCTCTAGCCTCTTCCCCTCTCTCAAGCAATCCTGAACAATGATGCTGGTTTATTCTCAATAAAATAGTGTAATGATTCTATCATTCCTGTCCATCCTTTTTTAGCTTCCCTTCTTTCCTCTCAAGGTTTGCTGGAAAATGAACTTACAATAGGCAGATTAATAGGACCAAAAGGCATACAAAATTTGTTAACGTGCATATGGACATGGGAGCCATGCACAAAGTATGAGACTCAAAGCAAGGCCAGATGGTTGAGGCTTAAATACTCTCTTCATAGGGGAAAGATGTCTGGACCCAGGAGACAGACATCATTTTGTAAATGAGCCTCTTTGGAAGCTGGATGATACCAACAAGTTAAGGGAAGTTTAGGGGCAGAACTGCACAGGAACAAAGGTTGTCTTTTATGCAGACAAAGTTCCCCAGGTAATCTCTCCTAAATTCCCTCAGAAGAATAGATGAAAAGTCTATCTGGGCATGGTGATGACTCCTAGTCACTTCTCTTTTCCAGCGGCTAATCTTTCCTGGTTATTTGAAGAGGTTTCTAGGGATGAGGTCTTAAAAAACAATTGCATTTCTTTTAGAAAGAAGCTTTCTTAGATAAGGAAATTCCAGACAGTCCATCCAGGCACTTCAGAAACAGGATCAGAGAGACAGGGAGGTGGAAGAAGGTCAGAGAGAGAGAGAGATTGGTTATGAGGCTTATTTCCAAAGCCTTTTAATTTTCAAAGCACTCAGCATGCTGAAGTGCCCTATTTTGGGGAATTGTTTCCTATACCCCAACACTTTTCAGTAACTACAATGTCTCCTCATTAGAAAAGAAATCAACCCATGAAGGCTAGCACTCAATAACCTTCATACAATGGAATTTTCCAGTCCTGTCTTCTCCTAGTCTCTTCTAAACATCCCTCAAGTCAGACAGGTCTCTTCACTGTCTTCTTTAAGAGCATAGCATTGGGCACATAGTAGGGATAAAAAATACTGAATCATAAAAAATGGAATACTTCAGACAAAAAGTAGAAATGGCACCAAAATTGCAAAGTTCTTAGAAAATATTGGTAATGAAAACACTCAACATTAAATCTTGTGGGATATGGCCAAAGCTGAGTTTAAAGGGAATTCATAGCTTTAATGCTTGCCTAATTAAACAAAAAGGAATGAAAATAAACTAAGTGATAACTTACAGACTAAGAATTGTAATTGACAGAGCAGAAAGCAAGACACTATGTTAAAAGTTCCTTGAATAAAGGGCCTGAATCCCCCCTTCCCCATCAGCATTTAACACCAGTGCCAAGAGAGTGGGGACCTTGTATCCCTTGTTCATTGCTCTATAACATCACTAGAAAAGTGCCTAGAACATCACAAGCACTCAATAAATATTTATTTAATGAATAACTAATATAAAAACCAGCATTGTGCTAAGCATCTTACATGACTTACTTCATTTAATACTTCTAGCAACTCTGTTAGGTACACATGATTATTACCATCTCCATTTTACTAATAAGAAAAATTGAGTCACGGGATGGTTAGGTCAATTGTCCAAGATCACAGTTAGTAAATGTCAGAACCAGGATTCAAACCCAGGCACCTTAGCTCCTAAACCCACCCTCTTAAGTACTAGACAATAATGTCGCCCTGGCAGTCTGAATTCAGTCCTAAGGCTCCCAGCACAGGAGTTCTGAGAAAGAGTAAATCAATGGAGGAGATGAGCGTTCTGGAAAGGATAGGCTGAAGGATTTGGATGAATAGCAAAGCAGAGAGGTGTGAACATGTTTCCTATTTAGTCCATCTCACCATCCGCATCAAATTGATTTGTTCTGTGCCTCATTTCCCCAGAACCCTTCCAAGTGCTTGGGTGATTTGATGTGCTAATCTTCACGACGGCTTATCCAGCTACCACATTCCAAAATGACCTTGCCCACCTCTGAGAACGTGCAGCCCATTGGCTCCTCCCTTCACTTAACACTAATCACATACCATTTTGTACTGTTGGTTAGCTTTACTTGTATAAATGTATGATCTCTATAACTAGATTGTTTCTTTAACGTGAAGCATAAATCTAATGCTTCATAGCATCTGTGCTTCCGCCATCAGTACCTAACACAGTACCTAGTACATAATGGGCAATATATAAATATCTGCTGAGGAACATGAAGGAGTTAAGTGTATCTCCCAGAAAAGTACATGGCTTCCTGATTGGACAAGACCTTCTGGACTTTTATATTCAACCCCATTAAGCTTCATAACTGTTTTGAGAAAGAAGAGAACACAGGGCAGGTTCAAAAAAAAAAAAAAAAGGCTAGTAATTCTAGCCCCATCTGAGTTTTGAAAGTAGGCCAAGTCCTTATTTGATGGCCCCCATTTCCACCATCTTTCCCCAGTGCTCTGGCAAACACTGAGGCTTTTTTAGTCAGGAGGTAAGGCACTAGGTAAACTTATACTAAAGTGCAATCAAAGGCATGACCTTCCTTGGGGAAAGGCAGTACTTACTTAATTCATAAAAATGAACCATTAATGATGGTTCAGGAGTATGGAACCTGGGTGAAGCTATTTGGGGCAGGCAGATTTTTTTTTTTTTTATCAGGACTCTGTCATACACACTGCCAATATAAGACCTTCTTTATTAATACTTGGATATCACACTGTATGCACAAACCCACAGAGCCATCAGCTCCACTCCCAAGTCTCTTCAGTAGCCTTCTCCTCCCTTTCTCCTCTCTCCCCCAACCCCTACCACTGGCCTCTGCTAAATTTCATTTTCTTCCTTTGCTCTGACAATCATTGTGATAAGTCGTGTGTCAGTAACTATAACAACAGGCTGCCACAGTGCTGGAGCTCTGCCTTTCTGGGAGATAGAAACAAGGTTTGTTTGCCTGGGAGCAATCAGGGAAGAAAGCAAACACAGGCCTCCTGAAGGACCTTGGGTTGAGATGTGCGGGCCACTCTCAGGAAGGCCCTCTTCTTCTTTTTTTTTTTTTTTCCAAACAGAGTCTCACTCTGTTGCCCTGGCTAGAGTGCCGTGGCGTCAGCCTCGCTCACAGCAACCTCAAACTCCTGGGCTCAAGCGATCCTTCTGCCTCAGCCTCCTGGGTAGCTGGGACTACAGGCATGCGCCACCGTGCCCGGCTAATTTTTTCTATTTTCAGTTGTTTGGCTAATTTCTTTCTATTTATAGTAGAGACAGGGTCTTGCTCTTGCTCAGGCTGGTCTCGAACTCCTGAGCTCAAGCAATCCTCCCGTCTCGGCCTCCCAGAGTGCTAGGATTACAGGCGTGAGCCACCACACCCCGCAGCAGGAAGGCCCTCTTCTTACACAGAATTCAAACAAACTGTCCTTTTTCACCAAGGCCCTCCATTATCTCTCCAAGGGACTGGGCACAGCTGACCTCCATCAATCGTGGGAGGATAAACCAGTGCCCTCCTTGATTTTACTGGGCAAGGGCTTTAGCTCCAGGCTGGCAGCAACACCTTCTCTGCTCCATTCTTACCCTAGCCCCTTGTGCTCTTTCTCTTCTTCTAGTCTATCAAAACGTGTCTCAG